TTGAAGTTGTTTCTGCAAAATCGATTCCACACTAAAGACTTGGTAAACTTAGGTATTTCCTGGGTATTAAAGTTGCTAGATCCAAGGAAGGTATAAGTTTATCTCAACGAAAATATGTTTTGGACTTATTAGAAGAAACGGGTATGTTAGGTGGTCGTCCGGTTGATGCTCCTATGGATTCAAATACAAAACTTCTGTCTGATGAGGGTAATCTATTTAATGACCCGGGTAAATTTCGCCGCCTTGTTGGGAAATTAATTTATCTCACTATCACTCAACCTGATATTTCATGTGCAGTTAGTGCTGTAAGTAAGTTCATAGGCCTAGTTGTTAAAGGCTCAAGGCGCACAAAAGCGCAAAGGCCTTCTACAGCCTGAGGCGTAAGGCGAGGTCGGGCGCGCGTTGAGAAAAAAAAAAAAAAAAAAAAAAAACACCCAGCCAATAAAGATGCAATAGTATAAATAAAGATGTAAAAGTCAACTAAATCAATTATTTAAGTTCAATATTCAACATAAATTATTACTTATCAAAAAAAAAAAAAAAATATTCAACATAAAGATGCCAAAGCCAACTAAATCAAGTACTTGAGTTTAAATTTTCACTTGGAATCCTATTTGACCAATCAATTAAATTGGGAAAATGAAATGTTGAATAAAAAATATTGAGATTGAATATTACTCACTTTTGATTTCAAACATTGTTTCAAAGTAAAATTAAGTAGTTTACTACTCTACTGTGAAACTTCCTAAACTTTCAAATATCCAATGATTTATGTACAGTATCATTCATGTTGGAGGTCATAGAGAAGCAATATAAACAATGAGATTGATTCTAATAAATTAATAATTAAACAATCAGTTTCAGAGAAGAAAATTTTGGAAAACAAAAAGTAATTGAAGCCAATTATTTTTAAGTAACATAAAAATAGTGCTTTTAATAAGAAAATCAAGTAAAATTGATGAAGCATTGAAGCCAGTTATATACGGGTCTCTAGAATTTTGCTTCTGAAGAGACGTGGCAGCAAAAGAAAAGGCCATTTATATAAGGGAAGTTATGTAACTTATGTCTCTACGTGGCAGCAAAAGAAAAGGAGGAGGAAAAGGTTGAAGTTGAAAAAAGAGAGAGAGAAGAGAGAGAAGAAGAAGAAGAAGAAGAAGAGAGAGAAAAGGAGAGGGAAGAAGAAGAGAGAAAAAAAGAGAGAGAAGAAGAAGAAGAAGAAGAAGAAGAAGAAGAAGAAGAAGAAGAGAACAGAAAAGAAGAGAGAGAAGAAGATCTGAAGAAGAGAGAAGAAGAAAAGAAGAAGGAGAAGCCGAGATGGACTTACCTAGAAATCGCAAGCTTCCTCTGTCGGCAGAATCGCAAGCTTCCTCTATCGGCAGAATTTTGCTTCAAAGTTTCTCAGCCCTAGCCCCCCCTCCTCTTCGATTCACTTTTACACTTTCTTTTTTGCTTTTGCACTTTCCTTTTTGCTTTTGCTTTTATTTTATTCTTTTTCTTTTCGTAGAGTTGCTAAAACAGTAATAATAAACAAATAATAAATAATAAACAAATCATAAGTAATAAACAAATAGCAAATAGTAACAAATTAAAGGAGGTGCGCCTTTTCTACGCCTGGGGCCTCTCACCTCTTATGTAAAGGCGCTCGCCTGTTCAAAGACCACCACCTGGGGCCTACACAGGCGCATGACTTGCGCCTCAGGTGCACACCTTCGGCACTTTTGACAACTATGGTTCATAGGAGCTCCTAGAATGCCACATTGGAATGCTGTTCTTTGGATTATCCGATATCTCAAGCAAACTCCAGGTTTTGGGTTGCTATATAAATCAAATGGTCATCTCAGGGTGGAAAGTTTTATAGATGCTAACTAAGCTGGTTCTTCTTCAAATAGGAGATCTACTACAAGCTACTGCACATTTATAGGAGCAAATCTTGTTACATGGAGAACTAAAAAGCAAACGGTGGTAGCTCGATCTGGTGCTGAAGCTGAGTACAGGGCAATGGCCCATACCACTAGTGAGTTGACATGGATACAACATTTTCTAAAAGAACTTGGGTTAACAGTTGAAGCTCCTATTCCATTGTTCTATGATAATCAAGCAACTGTTCACATTACACCAAATCATGTGTTTCATGACAGGACCAAACATATTAAAGTTGATTGTTACTTAATTCGAGAAAAAATATTAAGTGGGAGCATCTCTACTCCATTTGTGAAGTCTGAAGATCAATTAGCTGATATGTTTACCAAAGCGTTGGGTCATAACCGGTTAAGGACTATCTGTTCCAAGCTGGGATTATTTGATATATATTCTCCAGCTTGAGGGAGAGTGTTAGAATGTTTATGTGTATATATATATATATTTATGTTGGGTCATGTTGTAATTACACATATTTGGTAGGGTTTTTATGTAATTAGCCCATTCCTGTACCTTTATATAAGCTTGGATTGTCTTAGGGTTAATACATATATATGAAATACAATTGCATCCCCTCTCTCTCTCTCTCTCTCTCACGTCAATTTGAACATATATAAAGCCCAGTTAGTTGCAAAGGGCTTCACTCAAACCTAAGGGATTGATTATTAGGAAACATTTGCTCCAATTGCCAAGATGAACTCTATACAAGTCCTCCTTTCTTTGGCAGCTAATTTGTCTTGGCCCTTACAGCCGGATGTAAAGAATGCTTTCCTTCATGGTGACTCGGAGGAAGAGGTGTATATAACTTTGTCACTACGGTTTAAGCTTACCAATGGTCAGAATTTATTATGGAAGCTGAATAAAGCCTTGTATGGTTAAAGCAGCCACCGCATGCTTGGCTTGAGAAGTTCAACACTACGGTGAAGAGAGTAGGGTACACACAGAGTTAGGTTGATCATACTCTCGTCATCAAAAAGTATGAGGACTGCACCACTGCCCTTATTGCATATATTGATGATATTGTTATCACTGGGAATGACATTCATCAAATGAAGTCATTCTTGGGGACAAAGCTCAAGGTTAAAGATCTCGGATCATTGAGATACTTTCTTGGTGTGCTGATCCAAGGAAGGGGTGTTCATTTCTCAACGGAAGTATATGTTAGATTTGTTGGCTGAAACCAGTAAACTTGGAGCTAGACCTATTGATATTCTCATTGAACAGAACCATAGGCTTAATGATGTGGATGGCAACCCATTAGATGATGTGGGAAGATTTTAGCAATTGGTTGGAAGATTGGTTTACCTATCTCTAATGCGCCCAGATATTGCCTACGTTGTTAGTTTGATTAGTCAATTCATGCATGCTCCACGTACACCTCATCTTGAGGCAGCTCATCATGTTCTCCGCTACCTCAAGGGTTCACTTGGTTAGGGGAAATTGTTTGGCCGTCATGACCACTTGCGTGCTGAAGCCTACACGGATGCTAATTGGGCAATGTCTATGACAAATCGACGATCTACTTTATGATATTGCACATTTGTTGGAAGTAATCTTGTTTCATAGCGAAGCAAGAACTAGTTTGTAGTAGCTAGATCTAATGTTGAGGTTGAGTTCAGATCCATGGCAAATGGAGTTTGTGAGTTGTTAGCCACAAGCAATGTTGGATGAGTTGGGATATCATGTTCGTGAGTTAATGAATTTGTATTGTGACAACAAGGCTGCTATTAGCATTGCCCACAATCCAATTCAACATGACAAGACAAAGCACATTGAAGTTGATTGACACCTCATCAAGGAAAAGCTTGGTCTTGAGAAGATATTAGGCTGTTGATGTTTTGACTAAGGGTGTGAGCAAGACTTGTTTGCAAAATATGTTAGTCAAGCTGGGCATGATAGATACCTTTGCACCAACTTGAGGGGGAGGGTTGTCAGAGACTTACTTGTTATTACTTGTATAATGTAGGGTGTTTATGATTAATTTCTGAAACTTCTTAGTATAATTAGAATATGGTGGAAGGATGAAAGTATTCTTTCATTCTCTCTCGCTTTCCCCATCTATCTCTCTTTTTCTCTCCTCCTCTTCCTTCTCTTCTTCTTCATCTTCTTCTACTTTACTCTTGTTTTGATTATCTCTTAAAGTCAACCTATACCATTTATGTTGAATTTGCCTTGAGAGTAGTTTTTATATAGGCAAAGTCGACGTATACAGAGAGTAGGGTTTGTAGCGTTTTAAATCAAAAAGAAACTGGATTTATGCATGGCTCTATCAATCAACACAACTCCAGTGGCCCTCGATTGATTGAAGTCTATTGCAGTCTATATACTTAGAAAAAAATCAGAACAGGAAGTTTCCAGAATCACCTTACGCATATCACCGGTATCACTCGCCTGAATCTGACCCAATTCTGCTGATTTTTCAGGCCCTTTACATAGTGGTACATGTCATGTCTCCAAACTAGTTTAATTATCAAAAAAAAAAAAAAAAAAAAAAAAAAACAATTGAATTAGCACCCACCTTGCAAATTCCTGCTGAACATAGGGAACTAAATGACCCCTTTTAGCAGCCAAGTCATATAATCAACAACTGAAGCATATTTGTTCACATCAATACAAACAGAGCAACCCTAAAGCTGCAGAATTATAATACACTAGATGTGGTTCCACAACTCTGATGCAATAAATGATGCCCTAAAAAGTATCTTGCGATATTACACAGTTACCTCCTTCTCATTCCTAACAACTGTGTAATAGTTATATTTATTTGGGGTTGAGGGATAAGGGGCTGTGTCATTGTTATGAAAACTATTAGAGTGTTTGAGGTGAGAGTCCTTCTAAATGATCCAGTATAAATATTTAGTACACAGAACTAAGCATCCATGATGTATTTCTCAGACAACTATGGGAATCTACATTATTCAATTGAATCAAATCTAATATAAGTTCCTTTATCACAGCTACAAACAAAATTCGAATTTCAGCAAAACTTTGTGGAAGTTAATGAGAAAATACGCATGTTAAGACAAATGTGAAGAAGTAAATGACAAGTTGCACAATCAGGTACCCATATAACTACAATTCACCTGAATATTATTGCATTGGACTCAGATGCTCTCTTCCAGTCAACATATATTGGCAAAGTAAGTAGATAATCGTTATTTAATGCAGATGTCAACATCAAATCCCTAGCTGAAAGTTCTTCAAACTGCGCATTATAAAGAAGTTGCACGAAAGCACGTTGGAAGCGAGTGGAAACAGCAACTCTACATGCAATTTTGCACAATGTCAGATCCAGCTTAGGCATGAAACAAAACAAAAGACCAACATGAACCAAACTGAACATAAAGAATCAAGGCATCGTGCAACCATGTTAAACATGTTGGCAACCTTATCCAGAGGAGACATATTGGAGGGAAAAATGAGAAAAAGAAAAATATGTGATAATAAAAACAATTACGAAGGCAAGCATTAAAGGCAGCGAACTACTGACTTTAATTTACAGAGGCAAACATTCCTATCTTCACCAAGAAATCCCATTGGCTAGTCTACTTCTTCTCCTTCATCTAGATCATCTATGGGTCCCTCACATTTGTGTTTGATATCTCTAGTTTATTATTTAAGATCTTGTGTAAACAGTAAAGAACCCCTACAATAATGAAATCATGGTGCTATAGAAACAAAGTGTGACAAACCTGGATTCCTCAAGAGAAATTCTCTTGACATTTTTGGGTGAAGAACCAAAGAGGTATTTCAAGCCGGGGCCATAACTGGAAGGCATAGGATTGTTGGGTTCAGTTTTATCCTCCACATAATTACCCATGCTTCCAGTCCCAATAGCATTTTTATACATAGCCAAGTCAAACTTACTCTCTGAATTGCCCGAATCCTTGTGACCATCTGCTTTGGTTTCCATGGAATGGGTAAGGTTATAGTCAACTCGCATTTCCTCTAAAGTGCTTTTATGTTCAGCGTGAAGAATAGAGTCCAAACACCTGAAATTACACAGACATGTATGGGGCATTCAATTCAAACAGGTGATTCAAACAAAGTAGATAAGAATTATTTATAACCAACTATCGCTGGGAAGGGAACTTACGAGGACAGAAGAATGAATTGATCGATCTCTGCTTGTGAGTCAAACATCAATACAATGGCGTCCAAAAGCGCCGACTTAGAAACGGAGATATGTCGCTGCCTAGGAACTTGAATACCAGGAATTTTTTTACCTTTTCTCCAACCTTCTCCGCTAGGCTGTACATTTTCATTCTTCGTTTTCAATTGGCACTGCAATTCTAGAGGCTTGACGGGAATAATACTATGGGTATGGGATTGGGATTGGGATTGGGATTGGGAACAGAGACCACTAGAAGGAATTTTATGAGTGGCAGCAGTTTTAGACCAAGAAAAATAATTTTGATGAGGATGATGTTGTAGATATAACAACATCTCAAACGCTGGCGAATCACAACCGTACCCACCACCAAATGTGGAGGGTGATGAAGAAGGCAATTAAGTTGTAGTATACTCGCAAGGTGACCGACCGATCCGAATTGCGGATAAGGAAATCGTTGCAGGAAAGAGGAGAAGAGGGGAAATAAACCTGGTGGTTAAAGGGCGTTGATGCGTCAAAAGGACGGGAACTAAAGTAAATTCATTAAATATACCCTATTTTTCTTTTTCTTTTTCTTTTTCTTTTTCTTTTTCTTTTTCGGTGCCACGAAAGTACACAATCAGTTTCCGCCTGTGGTACTCAAATTGGACGGGTGGGCAGGCCGAAGGGGTTAGCCTGCGTCAAACTCACACTTCAGTCCACGTCAAGCCCAAATTCGAATAAACTAATTGTATCTCAGCTCGCACATTGCACGAATTTTTTAGATTTCACAAGTCGTCGTAAATTTTAATAAGTAAAAATTACACTTAAGTAAATTTAAGAGTCTTAAATAACAAACTAATTTATTATTAAAATTAATTTTTTAATTTGGTCAAATTAGGTAAAATAATACAATTATGTAGGTATAAAATATCCTCCAAACTCTTATTTCAAAATACCAAAATGTCTTTCCTAACTCAAATCATTATTTCATTAATAAAATTTAGAAAAATAAGATTTCTAAATTAACTTTCAACTTGGCATTGGCCGTGTATGTGTGTGTGTGTGTATATATATATATATTATACTTATATATTACCTAAGTGGTGATGTTCCCTTTTATAAATGGTGATGTTCCCTTTTACAAATGATGATTTTACTTTTTAGATTCCTATAATGTTACTTATAAATGGTGGTGAAATGTTACTTATAAATAGTGGTGTATTGCCAAACGCGGACTTAATGTCTGTTTTATGAAGAAATACGTGACCAAACCAAGATCACAAGACAGCAGACAACAGAAAACTGCAAGAATAATTACAGCAGGTGATTCACACCCATAAAACAACCGCGCCAAACTCACAAGGTGACCGACCACTTTGAATTGCGTATAAGGAAAATGTTGCAAGAAAGAGGAGAAGAGGGGCTATCGAGGAGTGGAAACTTGGTGGTTAAAGGGTAATGTGTCAAAAAAACCAAAGTATTGGGAGTACCCAATTCATCTCATTCAACTAAAGTAAATTGATTATTATTATTATTATTATTTTTTCTCCTCATCAATTCCTTTTAGGTACTCAAACCTGATAAGCGTCGAATATTATATATTTAAGCGCCCTTAATTGCATAACTTAATCCATTTTCATGTTAATAATGTTTACTTTATAGGTGTTTTTGTGTTTTTGTCAATTTTCAGGATTTTTCCCTAAAAGTGAATAAAAGCAAGGAATTATGGCTTTTTGAAGAGCATGATCATTCCGGGCTTGAAGTCAATAAATCCCAATGAAAGATGGCCCATGTAATACCCCTAATTTTAAAAAGATAGTCTCGACATTATTTTAAATGTTTTAATTGCATTTTTATTTATTTACTTGATTATTTGGCTATTTGATTACGTGTTTAATTGAATTATTTGAGAATGATCAAGTTGTTAGCACATGTGAGAATGAAGAAATAGTGGTTCAAAATGATCAAGTTGTTGCCACATATAAAATTAAAGAATTTGTGGGTCAAAATGAAGAAAAGAATGATGAAAAGATTGAATCCATTAAAAATCCAAATCAATTGTTCTAAAATCCTCTAAAAGTCTACTTGGCTCATTTTAATTGTGAGGATTTTGATGTTGAAAAATCTATTTGGGAGGTAAATTCTTTGCTTGATATTCCTCCACTCTTTCACTCTCCTCTTTGGGCAACACCAAATGAATCCCTCTTTTAGGAACTTGCATCTCCTCCCATTCTGTCACTTGAGTTACCTAAAAATGTTGAGCCTGAACCACCGGATAAATATGAGGAGAATGTTGAAAGTTTGAAGGATATTTTTCTGAAAATTCTCGCGCTAAATATGATCCTTCACAAGTCTTTGCTTGATGTGCCCTCACTTGATCCACCTTCCCATAATCCAAATCAACCCCATAATCCAAAGTTCCTAAATGAGGAAAAAGAGTGGGTTGGGGTTTTTCCTTTACCTCGTCTCATTTTTTATCTTCAAGCTCTACTTTCTCCACTTGTAAAGGAACTTTCTTATTTTGGGAAACATGACTCTCTAGAGAGACATGGTATAGGGAAAACCTTACTTTGAGATTCGTAGTTAGATTTTTTTTTTTTTTTAGTTATTGATTTTTCTCTTTTTGCCATTTTTATCTTTTGTATGTTTTGATTTGATTTCATAAACTTGTGGATATGCATAGTTTAGTTTTCTTTGCATATTTTCAGTTTGTTTTTGTATGCCTATGCTTTTATACTTGTGTACTCTAGTGTTATTTTGATAGGTTTTTATGTCCAAGTTTGGAGAAAGATCATTTTGGCATCTCTTCATGGATTGCATGTAGCTACAATGCCGGCGTTACCCACTTACTTGGTATTATTATTCTTTTTTCCTCATATGTGCTTTATTTTTATATCTCTGTCTTCACACATTGAGGATAATGTGTTATTTAAGTTTGGGGGTACATTTGTGTGTTTTATTTGTTTAAATTTTGTTATTATGAAAAATCGAAAAAAATTATGAAATAAAAATTTTGAAAAAATATTTGGAAGCAATGAATTCTTGTGTTTGGGACTTGTTGGAGAGTGAAGTATGTGATTAATACATCTTGTATGGATGCATTTGATGTCAAAGAATGATAAAAATTTGTTGATAAACATGCTTGGATAAAGAAGGTTCATTTCATGTCTTAAAGGCATCATCTTTGAGTTTTTATTATCTAGTAGACTTCAAATTACACATGAGCACATCGGAAGTATTTAAATGAAACATATGCACCTTACTCTTCTTTGTATTATAGAAATGGTTGATTTGAACTGACAAATTGGATGAATGGATATCTTTGGTATGATGATAAAAAAAAAAAGGAAAACAATTATGACCTGTTTAAGTTCGTAGCCTTGCTAACTCGAGTTATTAAGCCCTTTGGAGTATCTTAACACTTGGCGCCCTAAAACCATCTAGTTTGAGAGTCATTGGCCTAACACTTACTATATGGGTTAGTTAAAAAGCTTAAGGGACTTAAACATTACACGGTCATTAAAAAAACAAAAAAAAAAAAAAAAAAAAAAAAAAAAAAAAAAAACGATTTGATGGTTTGTTTGGGTTTGTAGCCTTACTAATTCGAGTTATTAAGCCATTTGGAGTATCTTGACATTTAGCGCCCTAAAACCGTCTGGTTTGGGAGTCGTTGGCCTAACACTTGCTACATGAGTCAGTTAGAAAGGTTAAAGGACTTAGACATTGCACAACCATTATAAAAATGTACATTTACTTGTCTTGAATAAATTCATGCCTTAGTTATCTTATTTCAAAAGAAGAGTTAATGATTGAAAGCTATGATGTTGTGCAAATGAAGGGGAAGGAAATGCATCTCAAAAAGAAAAAAATTATGGTTCACTTTTAAAGGAAGCTAGAGATCAATTCTATTATGGATGAGATATTTGAGTTATGTATGTGGACTATGATATCAATGCATGAATGTTTAAAGTTAAAATTGTTTAGAGATGTCATTACTTTATATACTTGATGTAGTCTTTACAATAATTCTCTCTCCAATGCTTATTTATTCCAAAAATAAGAATGAGTTTTGTGCATCTTCATGCACCATTTTGATATTTGTAGGTAACATTTCTTTTAAACGCTCACGAGGCTTCACTCGTCCACTAAGGATGCATAGGGGTTTAAAAGGCTTGTTGCATATGCTAAATGCAACCGTCACTCTTGATATTTCATTGTGTGTTCCATTTTGTTTTGCTAAAGGACTAGGAAAATATAAGTTTGGGGGTGTGATAGGTGTCGAATATTGCATATTTAAGCGCCCTTAATTGCATAGCTTAGTTCATTTTCATGTTAATAATGTTTACTTTATAGTTGTTTTTGTGTTTTTGTCCATTTTTAGGATTTTTCCCCAAAAGTGAATAAAAGCAAGGAATTATGGCTTTTTAAAGAGCGTGATCATTTCGGGCTTGAAAGTCAATAAATTCCAATGAAAGATGGCTCGAGAGACAATGGATACATTCAACATTACAATGATGAAGAAGGTGCTTATCCTTCAAAAGCAGTTAATTCAATCTTTTTCGGGCCATTGATGATCTTCCCAATGATCAAGAAGTAAATCGACTAGCCGGGGCCAAAAAGGAGTTAAACAAGGCTTAAAAGAAATTTCTAGCACTGGGGGATCGATCCCCTAGAGTGGGCGATCAATCCCCCACTGTTGGCGGAAAGGTGTAAAAAATTACCCTTGGGGGATCGATCCCCCAGCCCTTGGTAGCTATGCGAGAATTGTCTATTTTTCTCTTTTTGAATCCTAATTAGGCCGGACTTCTTCCAAAGATAGGGCACGAGTTTGGGACCATGGATGGCCTATATAGGTCATAGTGAGTGCTTATATAAAAGGGGAAAAGGCCTTGGTGGTGGATGTATTCAATTTTGTATTAATTTTGTAGAGAGAAAAGGAGGGTTTCCAGAGGTGAAAAAGAGGGCAGAGATGGAGCTCAAAATTGGGCCTTCTTCAGCAACATCTGAGGCTGCAAGCTTGATCATGAGAGGCTAAATCTCTCATGATTTTTTAGCATTGCAAGTTGTATATTTTTGTGGTTTACAATTGTAAGACTTTTGTAATACTTTTGTGAATGGGCTTCATAAATAAAATCATTCTTGATGAATTTTTTATCTTGTCTTAGATAATGTTTCATTTTGATTTAAAATTTAAACATGCTTATAGTGACAATAAGTATGAGAATCATACAATGGTTTTCATGATATGCAATTTTAGGGTTTTGATATGCCATACCTAGAGAAGATAGACCATGCTACATATTAGATTACCATAGTTAGGTAGATGGTCCGTGCCTATCGAAGATGGGTTATGCTTAGTCATAGATTGTATATGCATTTTATCTCTTGAAGGATTCATTGTGTGTTTTTACCACATGAGTTTGAGTTGTGCAAAAATTTGATTTTTCCCCATATGTAATTACAATGTACCATGGTTACAAGAGTTATGGTGAAGTCATTCTCCTAACCTTAACTCATATTATCTCTTTTCATTCAATTTAATTTCTG